TGCTCTCGGTGTAAATCGAACACATTTGTGGAGTTGTTTAAATATGTTAGATTTTAAATATATTGGATTTTAAACTGTCATACAATTTTTTCCATCGATATACTATAATCGGAATCATAACTCTTATTTATTCAAATTGTATTAATATGTAAAGACCAAATATAACTTATATCATTGTTAAATCTTCTCTAATAAAACCATTGAAACTTCAAAATCGTTAAAATTCACAGCTCCCGCCACATTGTGCGGGTACACAACTAGTATTATTAAAATATCGAGTAATCGACCAATCAAATTCTGAATGTTGAAATTTTGGATATGATATAATCTAGTTGTACTTGGACATCCAATTTTGATCAGTCAATTTCATTTGAACCAGATACTTTTTGCACAGCCTTAAAAACGACACCAATAAAAGATGAGATAATTTATAGAAGAGACTAATACAGACAGTACATAAAAAAAACGAGACAAATGTACAGACATGAAAGAAAAACCTTTTCCCATATCTACAGTATTATTTTATTACGATCACATTTTATTTGTGTCATTATTGATAAATAATTTAGAACTATGTATTACTTTTTATTTTTATATTTTTATAAAATAAATTAACTATATTTCATGACAATAACGTTGTTAAAAATTATATTAAAAACAAATAAATATAATATTTGAAGAACAAAAACTTAAACGTTTAAAAATAGTTATATTTCATGATGATATAAAACATTTAACAAAAACTCTTAAAAATCACTTTTTATGCGTAAAGTACTGTTTATTAATGCATATTAGTTAAAACTCAATATTACAAGTAGACTGTGCGCAAGTACAACTTATTAAAGCTCCATATCTGAATTCGTGTAACTAACTGCAGATACACATAATCAAATACAGGATAAACATCTCATTTTAAATATAAAAATTCTAAAATATAATTATGATAATTATTGAGTATTAACAGAATACTTAATTATTATCTTTATAAAATTATTAAGCCAAAAATAAATTATTTCGTTATTAAACTTAAATTAAATTATAATAAAAAATAAATTAAAGAAATTACATAAAAAATGAGAACTTTTAAATAGTTGATTTGATATTAACATTGATATATTTTTTTTCAAATTTTTATGATATCTTCAAATTTATATTTTATTCAAAAATAAAATCATTATTATTTTCTTAAAAACACAAAATCGTATTATAACATCGACGGAGACAAATAATAAAATAAAACATTAAAATCGATATGTATCTCGCTGCATTGTGCGAGTACTCTTCTAGTATTCCATGATGATAACGTTGTTAAGCGATAAAACCGGTAATTTAGGGGCCGTTTACTAAAAGTTTACTTGGTAAGTGCTTATCGGATAAATTTTCTCATCAGATGAACATGACAATGGCCAAGAATCTTACCGGGTAAGAGCGATGAGAAAGATGGAGAGTCTTACCCAGTAAGTGAAGATGACGACCTTTACCCATGTAAGCGCTTACTCGGTAAATTGTTGCATTCGATACGTTTTGATGTACTAAAATCTTACGCATCAAAATAAATTATAGTGTTGACTTGTATCGGTAAGCACTTACCGGATACGTATCTGGGTAAACAACCCCTTACTATAATTTAACAAATCATTACATCGTGTTAAACAAATTAACACTAATAATATTTAAACCGTTAACAAAGGAATCAACTTAAACTAAACTAAATTAACAAGAAACAAGAAATGAAGTATGCAAGAGAGCATGATTCTTGACTTGTGCATGATGCATCCACCATGGTTTGGGTTGTACCGAATAATATCTGGTATGATTGAAGTCAACTTTCATCAGTTATAAAAACTTTATTTTATGTATCAATTTTGTTGCTGGTTATTTCAGGTTGATTTTTTGGGATTGAGTTGGGTCGGTCTGTTGGGTTTTTTGTGCACCGCTGCTTCCTATGATGATTGCTTCAACATCTGTTATATTTCATCTCTTGAATATGGTCAGTAACGCGTAACAACTAGTCCTTGTGATAGATATAAAAACCTACAGTTCACGTCTTATGAAATCGTGGTAGATTTGACTGTTTTTTAGCTTTATATTTCTAAATCTGTTTAAGGCTTTCTTATTTCAATGTGTAGGGACATGTGTTGGGCAACTCGATGTCAAAGTTTATTCATCTTTGTATGGTGTGGCAAATGCATAAATGACACATTGGTTGATATTAGGGGTGTATATGCGTTGTGTTGGTCGGTTTGAAGGCATTTGAACAACTCAATTCAATGTTTGCGGTTTGAAAAATCACAACCCAACCCAAGAAAAACCACAACCCAACCTAATCCAAACCGTGTGGGTTGATCGAGTTAAAAACTCTGGTGCACCATTATACAATCTAGCTAAGTGTTTATGTTTAAACAAAGTAAAATAAAAATAATAACATACAAAACAGGCTAACAAACTCCAAAAGAAAGCTGAAGATTTATGCAATTAAGAAATTGTAATATCAAAATAGCTAATTATGGATTGGTTAACATCTAATGTACATATATTAGTTAAAGACTTAACAATCATGTTAAATCCGTAGCATAGAAAGATATCGAATTTATCGAGTTGGGTTGAGTTCAAATGACCCTAACCTAATTCTAGCACCATAGATGTTGTTTGGCCTAATTTTGTATCAACTATGTGTCGCTTTACCTCAGCTGAGTTTTTTTTGGGTTGGGTTGGCCGAGTTGATTGGTTTTTTGAGCACCCGTAGTTGATATATACATACTGGAGACATATTGAACTCGATTTTTAAATAGTTTGATCTGCAGACATGAAAACACATTTCATACCCAATTGTTTGGTAGTGAAAAGTTATGGAATCAGAATGATGTTTCACCTGTTGTGCTCTATCTTGTCTAAACTATGTTCCAATATTTTGTATTTCTGTTCCTAATGACATTTCCTGATCTGTAGTTGCTATGTTTGCTTTTTGAGTTTTAAGAGATAATATCAATGCAATTGAGAGTTGTCGTAGGTGATGGAGGTGAGGTTGGGGGCCAACGGAAGTTGGCTAGGAAGAGGTGGATTATGTGGTGGCTGACAAAGTCGTTGATTGTGAGATAATGTCCAATATATATGTGTGTACGTAGGGGTGTACGCGGGTTGGGTTGAGCGGTTTACAACATTTTTACAATCCAATCCAATTATGGCGGTTTGAAAAAATCTCAATCCAACCCAACCCAACCTAATCCATTCAAAAATATAACCCAACCCAACCCTTACGGGGTGAGACGGGTTGGCGGGTTAGTAGTTACATAAAATTTAACGAATGAAATAATTCATAAAACTTAAGTTTATAGACAATACTATAAAGCATTCCATCTAAAAATGTTACAATAAGTTTATAGAACGTTTCAACAAGTGTTTTAGAATGATCTTTAAATAAAATGTCGTATTAGTTATTTTATAGAAATATTTTGAGAAATGTCCTGTGAACTCATCTATTTACAGGACATTATGTTTATATGACACTTTTTCAAGTCGTGTCGTATAAAATAACTAATACAACATTTTATTTTAAAAGCGTTATAGAATTTGTTAAGACGTCCAAATTCATCCTATAAACTATTGTAACTCTTTTAGACAAGACATTTTTCTTGTTTCGTCCTATAAAGAACCATATTAGGACACTTAGACGTTCTAGGCATCCTATAAGATCTAATGTTGTTGTAGCGAAATGCTATAACTAAACATTTTCTTCCCACTGAAATACAACATAAAATGATGAGGTATTTCGATTGATTGATTCGTCAACTAAATATCTATCAATACCATTCATATTCTCCGGCACATCGATTTGTTGTTGCTGTAAAAAAGATTTCAATAGTTTTATCTTATTAATTAGATTATTTGTCATCATTCTTTGATCGTGAATCTCATTTGGTAACCTATACGTTTAGCTAAAATGAAATATAAACATAATATCAATAAAGATTATATAAAATTTATACATTATTAATATATATATATATATATATATATATATACACACACACATAATAAACATATATATAAATAAAATTTTATAAAAGTTATATATTAGCGAAAGGGTTGGACGGGTTGAGTTAGGCCCAACCCAATTTCAACCCTCCTAATTGACAGATGGTCAATTTAACGGTTAGACAGGTGGGGTTGTTAACAGGTTGGATTAAATGAGTTTTATGGATTGACAGTTTTTTATACACCCTATGTGTATGCGGTGCCTTATATATAATATGCAATATATTATTATAATTAATATAATATCTAATATGTATGTAAATGAGAGAATGATATAAAAGGAGAAAAGACTAAATTGTCCTTTACTTAATGGATGTTAATGTCAAAGACTTATGTTATAAAAATACAAATTTTAGGAACCATCTTGAAATGAACAAATTTTAGGGACCAAATTTAAAATAAATTTAAGGAGTTATTTGTTTACTTTTTAATAGTTTTATTAAGAGGCAATCTTTGAACCATTAACAGGTAAATCTTGTTTGACAAAAAAAATAGTGTGCCTCTTAGTGGTTCTAAAATCCTCTAAATGATTTTGTATCATGAATTTTCTTTAACCATTAAGAGCCTTAATTTCATTATACACAATTATCAAACAATCATATTTCATTTTATACTACATCATTAAAACCTTTTAATCATTCTACACCAAATTATTTAGTAATTACTAAAAACCCTCCAAAAACCATATGACAAAATCCGTAATTTACTTTTTTTTCTTTAAGAAAGTAAAAACTCATTGCTAATCTTAGATGAAAATGACAAGACAAGTGAAAAGACGGAAATACCCACTAGAGAAGAGGCACGTGGTGTTTTTGATAGAGGACCACCATATCACCACTATCGAAAATTAGATGGAGGAAGTGGGACCCATTCCATCACTACTACTCATAATCCAATCTCATAATCCCCACTATAAATACTCCACATAATCCACTCTTCCTTCCTCCCTTTCAGTAGGGTTTTCATATCTCCCTCAAACACTGAAATCATCCTGAAATCATCCTGAAATCTTATACGATAATACATATATATAAAGAGAGGGAATTTGAGAGGTTTTTCCACGGATTTATACACATATAGAGATAAAAATGGATGCTTATACGTTGCATCTAGCTATGGCGGCACTAGTCGGAGCTTCATTTGTCGCTGTTTCGGCTTACTATATGCACCGCAAAACCCTAAATCAATTGCTCGAGTTTGCCAAAACTGTTGAGAAGGAGAGAGAAGAGGGAGAAGATGACTTGCTGCAGCATTACAGGAAGAGTGTGCATCCTAGCGTTGAGAAGCCGTTGCAGAGGCGGAACCAGGGAGGACGGAGAAATGGGTTTTATCGTCGGGCTTCGAGTTCCTTACCTGATGTTACGTCTATTTCTGGTGGAGGTGGTGCTCATGACGAGGATGCTATTCCACCGGGGTTGCCTAGACTTCATACGCTTCCTGAAGGTAGGAAAGTGTTGGGATTTTCGCTTGAGTAATGATTCTTGCTGTGATTTATGTGTCATTAAAGTGCAAAAATTTGGTCGAATAGCTAGGATATTAGTGTCCTTCATATGATTTTGCAGCCATTTGAGATTGTTAAAAAAATTAAGGTAAAATTGCATGATTGTTTGTGAGAATTCTCTGTTAATGGCTTTTGTATAAATACAATGATAGGTGGTTCCCATAGGTCATCGGGGATGAAATTAACTGGATGCTTTGTGTCGCGCTTAGAGTTAAAATTTGGTACTTTTAAAGTTCATAAATGGTATTTGCTACTTTCCATGATAGCCATGTGGTCCTGTGGATTGTTGGTTTTATGTTTCTCTGGTGATAGATCATAGTAAAGTTTAAGTCTTTATGGATCATTGGTAACTTTTATAACTTATAGTTTGTCCTTTTTGTTTATAACAGGGTGGCTGTTCCAGGTAATTTAGCTATAAATTTACCTAATTAAATCAAGAATGGTGTTGCCTAATATTGCAATGCCTTGATGATCTCAAACTAGAAGAGTATATAAATTGTAGCTAATAATCTAATGGTGACTTTTAATCATTGTGAAGATTATGTATCTTAATCTATCTTTTTCCTTCTATAGTAAGGTGATTGTTCCTGGTAATATAGCTACATGATAACTTAACCAAATTACTACCGGTGCTACCTGGTAATATTGATCCATTTAATTTTGTTCTCAGAGGCTACAATATTAGGAATTCTTGTTGTCTTATGTTTCTTCATGTGAAAGTGCGAGTTCTACTACTTGTTGGAAAAGTTCCTTGGTCAAGTTCGTAAACTTATGTTACCTTCCCTTGGAGGCAGTTGTCGTCATGCATCTCAAATCATAACTTGTAGGTTTCGTAAACTTATGTTACCTTCCCTTGGAGGCAGTTGTCGTCATGTGTCTCAAATCATAACTTGTAGGTTTGCACTTCAAGTTATGGATGGGTGTTTGGCATACCTTCTAAAAATGGGTTGGGTGGTATGCTCTCTTATCATCTAGTTATGGATGCTTTATAGTGCCATGAGTACTCTAGCTGTGTTGCAAAGTTGAATGTTAATTTTTATTATTAAGTTTTACAGGCCACCTTAAAAAAAAAGGAAGAAATGGGTTTGGAGTATGCTTGTGTGCTATTCTTTGTATTTTTTGTTTAATTATTTTGTAGTTGGTACTTGATATAATTTATTAATACTTGTGTGCTAATGCCTATTTGATACTGTATGCAAATTGTTTTTAAGTTTGATGACAAATAGGATGCTCAATAGCATGCACTTGGCTAATTAATTAATACAAACACCCAATAAAGAAAGAAGAAAGAATCAATGGGGGACTCATAGTTTTTGACTTATTTACTATATCAGTAAGAAAGAAGGCAACTTCGTTTTTAGCTCTCTTTGGATACACATTGAAGAAACACATGGGTTCTTAGGAAGAGAGCACAGGTAGAATTATGGTAGTCTTTGGGAAGCTAACTGGGATAGTAGTTGCAACAGGCTGAACTGACTAGGATATGCAAGGACTTGACCCCCCAACAGAGACTCTGGAGGAATGCAACATGACCCTTCTAGGTTGGCTGTTATTAACAGCGTTCTCTTATTTTTCTGACCTATGATGTTCTTCCACCCATAGGCCCTCACTCTCCCCCCAATAGGAGAGACTATTTTGCGTTGCAGGGGGCCTTTGTAGAATGGATGGAGACTTAGTTGCATGAAATAGATCTTAATTTCACGTTGCTATATGGAAGCATGTATGCGGGCAAAAGTGCTGCATAAACTGTTACCTTGCCTTACTTAATATTCTTGAATTATTGATGATTTCTTTTGGTTGTAAAATTAAGTTTTCTAATACTTGGGTGCTCCAATTATTGCAGGGAAATGTGCTGGCCATGCGGGGTTGGCCAAGAGAGCTGGACACATTCTTAGACCGACTTCTCCGAAGTCTCCAGTTGCTAGTGCAAGTGCTTTTGAAAGTGTTGAAGGATCTGATGAAGATGTTGATGTGACTGACAATGTTAATCCAGATGCTACATACCTTCACACAAATGGGAATGCGGTAAACTTTTGATGCACTATGAGAAATCTCTTTCCTCTTTCTCTCTTTATGTGAGTTACATGTCATTCTGTTTGGGTATCTTACAAATATGCTCTAAATCTGTATGGACATCATATGAGCAGGGTCCAGAGTGCACAAGTGTTAATGCAAATGGTGAAAATTTGCCGATAGCTGCATCTACTATGATTCGGTCACATAGTGTATCTGGTGACCTACATGGTGTACAACCTGATCCTGTAGCTGCTGATATTCTTAGAAAAGAGCCAGAGCAGGAAACTTTTGTACGGCTTAGGATCTCCCCCTATGGTACTCATGTCTCTTTTCTAATTCATATGTGTGACTATACCGAAATTAAATATTTGCAACTGAATTACTTTACCTATGTTACGTGCTTCCATTACGTACGAGTAATTTGCAGTTACTCTAAAGTTCTATTTTTGAAGAAGGAACTACTGAATGTAGAATTATATTTGTTTTAGACTATGTGATGGTAAGATCATTCCTCTTTGAGGTAATTAATCATCTTATACATAGACAAAAACACGAAAATGCAGAAGGAGAGAGTAAAAGAAGATTATGAGAAAATTACTGTTATATGTTATGTTTCTAGGTGGTAAATTTTGGAATTTTCAAGATAATATTTTCTGTTTTACCTGATTTGTGTGTATTGATAATTATTGCAAGTTATGAATTTTTTATAAACAATGTTACCCAAACATCATACTCTTAAAAGCTTCTGTTACTTAGTTTCTTTACCCTTGCCCTCATTTGTACTTCATACCAATTAATGTGCATGTAACAGAAAATAGTGCTATCAGTATGTCATAATGCAAGAAGCTTGGAAGGCATAGTAGATGAATGTATGGAAGACACATCTATATGTATTTTTTATCTGTTGTTTGGACTTTGGAGTGTTGCTATACAGAAACCCTTCATGTAGTCTCCGCATTTTCTGAACAAGTGCTGGTTGAATTGAGCTGGAAGCTTTCTTTGCAGTTGCATGCAATTGATGTTGTATAGCTGGTCAATTGATTTCCTTAAAAACTGGAGATGAATTGAAAATGGATTTTGCACTTGTAAAGGAATTTCACATATATAATATAGAGTGGCTGCTATTTCATATCTGTTTGGTTGTGATTCCACATGTAATTGAGATTAGATTATGCCTGACTCAATAAATGAGAATCATACACATTCAGAACTTCTTGGTAGAAGCTTAAGAAGACTTGTATATCAAAGTTTGCCAACATGCTACAGGAAGCTTGAAGTTCCAGTTAGCTTATATTTCTGTCACTATGATTATTGCAGAGACACCGTCACCTGATGAAGCGGAGGTCTACAGGGCTATACAGGTTTGCCTTGAAATGCGAAACAGTTATGTGTTCAGGGAAAGCATTGCTCCATGGGAGAAGGAGGTCATATCTGACCCTAGTACTCCGAAGCGCAATCCAAATCCTTTTGATTATGTTCCTGAGAGAAAGTCTGATGTGAGTTTTTAGTTTATATATCCTTTCAAACCAGTTTGTACTTCTCGTTGATTCATGTTGAATTAATGATGGTTGTTGGTCCCGTTGTTGGTGCAAGTTTTCTTGACATGACACGTTATTTGTGCTACAGCATTATTTTCAAATGGAAGATGGAGTCGTTCATGTTTATGCAAATAAAGATTGTAAGATGCCATTATTGCTAATGTTGTTACCTTTATTATTTAAATATGGTGGGAGAAGCTCTTACTTTTTATTGTCTAATTGTTTTCTCTTTTAGCAACAGAGAAGCTTTTTCCCGTTGTTGATGCAACAACCTTTTTCACTGACCTGCATCACATCCTTAAAGTGATAGCCGCTGGGAATACACGGACAGTATGTCATCACCGGCTTGGTCTCCTAGAACAGGTAGAGACTTGATAGAGTTTCTCTGTTATGCTTTGTAATTTTTTGGCGGTGATAAGTTATCATCTGACTTTGGTATGCTTCTATATGGAATCTCTATGAAGAAATTCAACCTTCATTTGATGCTAAATGCGGACAAAGAATTCCTAGCTCAGAAAAGTGCACCGCATCGTGACTTCTATAATGTCCGGAAAGTTGATACTCATGTTCATCACTCTGCATGCATGAATCAAAAACATCTGTTGAGGTTTATAAAGTCCAAATTGAGAAAAGAACCTGATGAGGTAACGTGTTTACTTGTTGCTGATTTTGTAATATGTATTTCTGGTAGTGGCTCATTTCCAAACATAAGCTAGTAGATGAATGGCCTAATCTACTCTCCAGTAATTTCTTTAGTCTCTATATTGTAATCGAACTTTGAAATATTGACTTGTAATTTATACCATCTTCAGAGTTTGATTATTTTGGGGATAGAATTCAATTCAGATGATGTCCGGTGTAATTTGTTAATCTTCAATTTTCTGCTTTTCTTCAGGTTGTAATATTTCGCGATGGAACATATCTGACGTTATTAGAAGTTTTTGAGAGCTTGGATTTAACTGGGTATACAATAATCTTTTGGATTGCCAATGAAACTGGTTGTATCATCTGCAGTTGGAGCATCATTTTTACAACCTTCTTCAAATCATTTAGTCTAATGGTATTCAAATATATTCATGCAGGTATGATCTCAATGTTGACCTGTTAGATGTGCATGCAGACAAGAGCACCTTTCACCGTTTTGACAAATTCAATCTCAAATACAATCCCTGTGGTCAAAGTAGGCTTAGGGAGATTTTCTTGAAGCAAGATAATCTGATTCAGGGTAAGCTTCATCCTTTTGAACTTATCGAGTGAATAACTAGTACTGCAATCGACGAACTAATTGGTGCTGAGAAACTAATTTGCTTGCATAATGTTCAGTATTTTGGAACTGATTTATTGACAGAGTGAGTTGTATTAAGTAGTTTTATTTCAACATGTCTGGTTCTTACCTTGGTTTTGCTTATCATGATGTCAATGTTGATAATTCCAACTTGTTTGGATAAAATCTTTGTTTGATTGAGCTTGGATGAATTCTTCTATATACTACCTCTTAATCCATGCATACCATTTTGTCAGGTCGCTTCCTGGCTGAGCTAACGAAACAAGTATTTACAGATCTTGATGGGAGTAAATATCAAGTGAGTTCTGACTTCTTTCGGGGAAACTCTTTAGTGACTTCAATTTATACTGTAGATCATTTCGGATTGGTTTACTGTGTTCTTGGGCTGATGAAAGTATATCTGAACATGATCTTGATGTTTGGTTAAATGTAACAAGGAGGTGATGAATAAGTCAATAAGCATTTCAAGCTCATTGACCATTTGGGATATATCTTGACATGTGCTGCTCAGAAATGCGGTAGCAGATGTCTGCAATTCATTTTTATGAGATTTTGGCACAGTATTATAGTGGAAATTATATCAACTATGAAATCATCAAACAATGATTTCTCTCTCTCTTTCTTCCCTCTATGTGTCTTCTAATGCAGGTTTTCATTTTGTTTTTGATCTACATCTTTGAACAAGTTAATACTGAGAAAGTATGATGTCACTTGCTTATTTTTGTTCTATTTGAATTCTGGCGGAGTCTTATCATGTTTTAGGGGATTTGCATAATCTATGTGCATTACAACCGTAACACTTTCCAGTTGTTCTAGTGTATTGAACTGAATCTTACCCATCTGTTCTAGTTGCGAGACGGTCCTTGCAGTTCTATGTATAGTTATTTAATCTTGATGATCCTTACAGATGGCTGAATACAGAATATCCATATATGGAAGAAAGCAAAGTGAGTGGGACAATTTGGCGAGTTGGATCGTGAATAATGAACTGTACAGTGATAATGTTGTCTGGCTGATTCAGGTACGGATTAGAACCAATCACATTACGTATGATGCATCTTTCTGTGGTTAATTTGTGATCATATTATTTACGTGTTGTTTGAGGTCTAACCAGGCAGGGGGATGGCTGATTGGCTGTATGATTTTTACTGATAAAAGATGCAGAAGTTGGTTTTATATGCCAAAAATAACAGCAAATTTTTAAGAGATTTGAGTTGTAGAAAAGATGACTCTATCAATAGCCTTTTGAGATATTAATGAATAATGATAAGGTGATGTAAATAAGCCACATTGGCCTCCTTGATTTAATCTAAAACAACTAGCCTTCACTCTGAATTGCATATAATTTCACAATCTCTCACCCACATGTTTTCAGAATGTTCCCTCTTTTTATGGGTGGCCCAAAAATAAAAGACACAAGGCGAGTCTATTTTCCTGCAGCTTCTGGTCAAACGTTTCAGCATTTCTTTATTATTTTTCTCATTGTATCCATTGTCTTTAAATTGTTTATGTTCAGTTCTTACTTTTCTGCTATTTATATTCTAGATCTCTGAATCATGAAGAGTTTCAAATAAGTAGCGTCTGTAGAAAAGCATATTAGTTATCTTATCCAAAGCAATGTCATAGATGAAGTGGAATTTGTTTATTTGTACCACATATCTATATTGTTAGTTAGCTTTCTTAATTGGCCTGCCAAGTAAAGGTGGTATTGTATCTATGGATGAGGCATACTACTTGCTCGGCTCGCTTGAACTCATTGTTATCTTGTCCCTAATCTGGTATCTGGATTAGTATAACATTCTTGGTGATACATCTTTGTTACTATAATACACAGCCTGAAATTTTCCTCCATCTGTCTGCAATTGTAGCTTAGATAAATTATTCGTCATCTAATTTCTGTGTTTGTTTTGATAAGACAAATGATGTTGTTTGTAGCATACCTGCTTAAGTTTGAATGATTAGTTCACAATAGAGAATTAAGAAGTTAGCGTGAATGAGCTAGACAGTAAGTCTGAGTCCTGGCTTGTACCTTTTTGAGGTTATTAGTTTTCACTTCAGACTTGCCAAGTTGCAACTATATGAATATTAACATGTTAACGTGTGATTTTTTATCATTTAGTTCAGGATGTGGAAAATTGTATGTACTTTTTGAAGCACGACTTTAATTTATATGGTTTTGTTCTTTTCCATCTTATATGTACATCAAAAAGGCATAAACATTACTGTGCTCACTTCTGAACCTCACTTTCATTGCAGCTGCCTCGGCTTTACAATATATACATGGAAATGGGTATCGTCACATCATTTCAGACCATTCTTGACAATATATTCCTTCCTCTCTTTGAGGTTACGGTCGACCCAGGATCACATCCTCAGCTGCATGTATTCTTGAAACAGGTTTGCTCTTTAAACAGTCCACAAACTGAAAGTAGGGCTTGACCTTATTCAAAGCTGCATTTCTGTTTCTTTAAATACGTAAAAACAGGAGTTCTTGTTTCTAAATATGTATATATGACTGAAGTGCCCAAATTTGCCAATAGCACTTTTCAGACAAACTTGCATACTGCTTATTTCATCTGTATATTCCAATTCATCTTTGCTTTTGGTATCCTAATAATCTTTGTTGATATAGTGCAGTCTTCTAACACAATTTTCTGTAAATTTGCAGGTTGTAGGATTGGACTTGGTGGATGATGAGAGCAAGCCCGAAAGACGTCCTACAAAGCACATGCCAACACCTGCACAATGGACCAATATATTCAACCCTGCCTTCTCATACTATGTATACTATTGTTATGCAAACCTCTATACCCTAAACAAGGCAAGTATGGTTATGCGCACTTCCATAAACAACCTTGCAAAAGCATGCCACAAGGCATTAGACTTGTGGCCTGATTTTCTCTCTCTCTCTCACTCTCTCAATATATATATATATATATATATATAGACATATATATATATATATATATATATATATATGCATGTATATAGTGGCAAATAATCCAATTTGGAAAACATGAAGAGCCAAAGGCGAGAGGGAGAAGGGAGTACAATAATTTATTAGTTGTAGATACTTGGCTAGGTTCACAATTTGCATTTTCTAACTGTCAAATACATGCTAATATGAAAACTCTGAATTCTGGGTGTATTGATGGTATCACAGCTCCGTGAATCAAAAGGAATGACTACCATCAGATTCCGCCCTCATTGTGGGGAGGTATGTATTGCTGACCCATTCAGCTCCCTTTTTGTATCGTTGATTGTTGACTAACTTTGTGAGTTATATGCATCAGGCTGGTGATATTGACCATCTTGCTGCTGCATTTCTTACAACTCATAACATTGCCCATGGGATCAACTTGAGAAAGTCTCCTGTACTTCAGTACTTGTATTACCTTTCCCAGGTACACGGAAGAGTCACCTTTTTAACCCCCAATTTGTAGCTCAACTGGTTTGGTCCAGGGTTTGCTCCCCATTGGTCACCAATTGCCAATGGAGGTTTTTTGGCTTTTAACTTCAGGGCCCCACGGGATTAGTTGAAGTGCATGCAAGACACCCACAACTATAAAAAAAAGTCACTTGTTCTCTCATTGGCTTTTTTTGTTTCTTTTTTGAAGTATATTATATTAATTTAATGCAAAACTCACACACTTCTCCCGTTTGGTGAGCTTGAACCCTTGACCTCCAAGGAGATTGGGATCTACCAGTGACATGGGTGTCGTTGGGCCATTGCCCCTTTGGCGGATTTTTTTTTTTGGGTTTTATTGGTCTTCTAATTAGAAGCATATTGATGTTCTGTTGCTTGGTGGTTCAGATTGGTCTTTGTATGTCTCCTTTGAGCAACAACTCCTTATTTCTGGATTATCACCGGAACCCTTTCCCAATGTTTTTCCTTCGAGGCCTTAATGTCTCACTGTCTACCGATGATCCATTACAAATCCACCTAACAAAGGAGCCGCTGGTGGAGGAGTACAGTATTGCTGCTTCTGTAAGCATCGACTTTCCTATTCGTGCCTAGTGTGTGTATGATGTCATTAGGAGACAGATTTACTAACATTCTCCTTTTGCAGGTATGGAAGTTAAGTGCCTGTGATCTCTGTGAGATTGCGCGTAATTCAGTATACCAATCAGGTTTCTCACACGTCCTGAAGGTACACATTTCATTCTGCTTTTTCTGATTCCCTATTTGTTTTGTCTCATGTCCCTTTTTCCTTTTTGTTCACTGTACCTGTTGCACGTTTGCACATAACTATGCTACTTTTTCACCCGTCCCCTTGTCTTTTTGTTCTTGTTTTGCAAGTCGGAGGTTTTCATGGAAACAACCTTTCTATCCTATAGGGTAGAGGCATCTGCTTACATCCTCCCCATCCCCCCCCCCCCCCCCCCCCCCCCCCCCCCACACGGGCGGGGCAGAACCCTACCTTTGTGTGGGGTATACTGGGTTGTTTTGTTTTTGAAATGGAAAATGAGCATTTTTAATATGATTGTGCACATTTGGTAACTGATATTCTTTTTCCAGTCCCATTGGATTGGTCAGGAGTACTACAAGAGAGGACCAGATGGAAATGATATTCGCAAGACGAATGTGCCACATATCCGACTTGAGTTCCGTGACATGGTATGTAATTTAAATCACATAATCTTTTGTGGGATTTTGTTATTGAATATATAGATGAAAGTGGAAAATGGACATATGGGTAGTGTTGAACCATACTAATAACACGAAGGTTGTGACTTTGTTCATCTTATTGTTGCATAATCTCCAGTGATGGGAAAAACACAAGAATATTGTACATCAGGTAGGGGATTATTTAGGAAATAACCTTATGACATTTTTTAAATGCATGACCTTCTGATAGATTTTGAGGCATTGTGTTAGGAAGAGACAATTTTCTATTAGGCAAAAATGTTTTTAAATGTGTCAAAAGATCATACATTTAAAAAAAATGTGTCAGAAGGTTATTCTTCTAAATAACCCATGGTTACCTAGGCATCATGACGAACGACTATGATAGTTAACATAATTAACATGCATTAAACTTCTATCATCGACATCATGATCTTTCAAAACTGATGTTCTGTATTGGGCCATTTAATTTATCATAGAAAATGTTATCTGATTTTAGTTACTTCTGGCTGATACAGATCTGGAGAGAGGAGATGCAACAAATTTATCTAGGAAAGGCCACTTTGCCTGAATACATCGAGACTTAGCTTCCTTCATCCATGTGATTCCACCATTTCTGATCTCTGGAGGTACAAACTTTATTCTTCTTTAAGCCAGTTCCGATGTCACTTGTTACTTTCCATCCCAAAATGTCAACATTTCACCATTTAATGTCAAATGAGGCCCCTTTTATCAGTCCCAAAAATGTTGCATCTTTCATCTTTTCATGTCAAAATCTTCAAAACTGGAAGTATTGTCGAGAAAAACTTAGCAACTGTTACATAATTCCAAGATAAGTACATGGGCACATGCCATGTACTAAAATGGAAATTGTTCAACTATTAGTTAAATACTCCGTCCCAAACAAGTGTCCACTTTCAGAAGTAAGTGCTTACTTTCCCATTTTATTCTTAATTATGTGATGAAGAACGTCATTACTCCCTCTATATTAAGGGGTAAAATAGCATATAGTTTATAAGAAGTTTAATAATTACATATTTTTAAAGTTGTATCTTCTTTGTTGTGGTAATTTATTTTGGGACGAAGAGTATCTACTATATCTCTCAATGATGACGAAATGGAGAATCTTGTGGACCAAAGTTGTTGCTAATACTTTGTAACAATTACCAATAAGCAAAATACCATTTAGGACCGGAACAATTTTTCGAAAGGAAAACATTCCAGTTTTTTGTGGGACATCCCAAGAGTGCATTTTACTTTGGGACAGTTTTATAACATTCGTTCTTTAGTCTTGAAATATATAGTTTAGTAACGTTTACGCATCTTTGCCTCTTAAACCAGCTGCAACTAGTTACTAGTTTCCGTCTACAGTTCCAGTGGCCAACTTTTGGTGTCGTAAGCTGAGACTTGACTTAGCCCTGAAGCTTAAGAGCTAATGTGGGTCAACTCCAGAGTTCAGTGATAGCTTTAGGTCAACTTGGATTCACCCGTCATGTAAATGTAAATTATAAGAGACCGGAAATATAGCCTATAGCGAGAAAGTCATAAGATTGATCTTTGCTTCGCCCGGCTCTCGTATTGTTATAAAAGGAAACATAATAATCACAAAATACTTGTTTCAGTTTTTGGGCAGTGCATTTGTTGTGCAATGAACATATTCATGATGTGGATTGTGTTTTCATTTGCTTTTCTTTTAGTCATATAGCCTCTTTTGTTTTGTATATGATAGCAGTTAGGTGCCCTTTACCAAATGCTTATCGGGTAAGTGCTTATCGGCAAGAGTCACCACTCTCATTTACCTAATGGGGTAACATTTCCAGCCATTGAAATGGATTGATGATAAACGTTTATAACTTAGTAACTGCTTACCGGGTGGGAGTCATCACCCTCACTGGATAAGACTCTTGATCATTGTCTCTCTCTTACCGTATAAGATTCTCGGTCCTTCTTGTGTTCACCCGTTCAAGTAATTGAACCGGTAAGCACTTACCAAAGTAAGTGTTTAGTAAACTGCTCCTTAGTTAAATGCCTGTTTGTGCATATATTGTGTTAGTTTGTAATTGATAATCCCTGAGTCGGCTTAACGTCGTGCTAAAAGAGCAACATGTGAGAGACAAATTAGGTACAGAACAGTCTATTATGTGGTTGGGTTAGCCAAAAACTTGTTATAAAAAAGCCAACAAGATGCTTTATTTCAAAAATATTTTATAAAAATTGTTAAGGCGTCCAAAAACCCTGTATAAACTTATTGTTATATCTTTACATAAGATGTACAAGTGTTTAGTTTTATAAACTTAGGTTGTACATGGTTGTTTAAGATGTTTAGACATTTTTGTTGTCCTGTAAACACCATTTTGTTGCAGTGATTGAATGTGTAGAAAGTTCAAGGAATTACAAAGAGCCAGATGCTTGTGAACTTCCTTGTTGGTATCAATGTTCGTGAGGGTAACCACTTGTGTTGTAGCGTGCTAGTTAAGACTCAAAGGGATGTAGTGGAAATCTCATCTCCAGGGGGTTTGAACCCAGGTTTTGTCAAAACCCTTGCGACCATTGAGTTTCATCTGCAATGACTCCCAAGTCATCTGTGGTTGCTTGGGGATTGGTTGCGCGTAAGATAATCCGGATACCCATATTTACACAAAAACAATGTCAGCTAGTGTAGGTATATGGCAACATCTTGACGTTAGTAATACTCCACAGTTGTGTAAGATACCTTTCAGGATTGATGAGTTGACCGAGTTTGAACTCAATCAACAGTCATTATGGAAGGAGATATTGAGTTCAAAACATCATACCAAGGCTAACTTAGAGTAAAAGAAGAATCTTGATGATTTGGAGCTCGAATGAAAAGATGACTTCGAATAAGGCGAATGAGTCGGTTTACCCAATTAGGAACAAAAGCAGCTCGAGAGCCAGACAGGCTAACGAGCGAGTATAGTGTGCAATAGCACACTTCTGTTTTCCCTTTACTAGTAGGGGTCCTGTGGTTTGCTCATTCCTTCATGACGGCTGATAGATTCAATGGTCGAACTGGTTATTTAGTTCTAAATCAGTAAGGTTTAATAATAGCTCAATTTGAGATGACAAATTCATACTAATATTTTTACTATATTATAAAACATTTACCTCATGTTTTTAAAATCTCTTAAAATTCAAATTTACAACTTATTATTGTATACGTACAATTTCTTAAAGCTTCACATTTGAACTTCATAAAATTAATTGATAACCCAGTTCAAATACGAGACAATGTTGATACATATTAATATGATAAAGATACTACATAAAACTAGTATCTGATCAAACATTCCATCTCTCTCAAACTCACACAGAACCATAAAATAAAATTAAGAGGAGCATAACATAGGGGCCGTTTATCAAATACTTACCCGTTAAGCATCTTGCGGTAAAATTTAACATTATCATTTACTTACCAGTTAAGATTTTAGTAAACAAAAACGGCTTTTCATGCAACAAATCACCCGGTAAGAGCTAATTGTTGTAAGAGTCATTGCCCTCACTTACCGGGTAAGACTCTAAGTCCTTGCCTCTCCCTCACTGGATAAAATTCTTGGTCATTGTCATGTTCATTCGATAAGATAATATAACTTGGTAAACACTTACCCGAGTAAGCAGCATTTGGTAAACGGCCTCATAATCTAAATAAAATAGAATGAAACATGAATCATAATTAAGGATTCGAACTCTCCACTTCAAAATCAAGATTTATTATATTGTATTATATGAGTACACTTCAAGTCTTAAAGAATAAAGAAAGTAAATAGAAAAGTGTAGCATTTTCCATATTTCGAGCAATATCGACAAATTATGACAACAATTTTTTAACCCGATTGTTTTTTCCTATTTTTCTTTGTTTACTTTCCAAACAACCCCAAAAAATCCGATATAAGAGCATGCGTAAGGTGAAACTTTTATAAATCTTATGTCATATTTTTTTAGCACATTATTGACATCTTAATAAAATAAGAACCATTTATAAAACCTCATTTTTTTTTTAAATTTTATTTTATTTATAGTTTATTATAAAAGTATAATATATATGTATATATTATAAAATTACAA